TACATTAAATAATGACTCATCAATGGTCGCGACATGCACACAATGTGGCATAAAGTTAACAACATTTTTGAAAAACTCGGCAAATTCAACTAGCGTCAGTCGGCAATTTGACCTTCGACACCCCCCCAATCCATATCCCTTCGCGACGGCCCTGCATGCATGTCCATGTATATTACAATCTTTAATAAAGACAATGCATGCACATGCATGTCAAGTAATTAAAAATTCCAGTCGGACCTTCCCTCATGTTGTGATAGGCATCTATACCTAGAATTTCTATTCCCAGAATCAGAAAGGAAAACAGAATTGCTTTTGAGGTAATTAACTGATAGAATTTCCTGTTTATAGCCTAATTAATGTTAAATTTTACCTTTAGGTGCAAATTCTCACAGAATCGTGTTATTTCTAGGTTAATCAGGACATATATATAGTTAATATATGATCAGGACAATTTTAACCAGTGTTTTTAGAGTGTGGATAAACCTAGCCCTTACCTGCATGTAAATCATGGGAGTGCGATAGCTGTCCTATCGTTCTATATAAGGATTGTTTTTCCACAAGTAATTTAAACAAATTACCTAACTTTAAAGGCACATGCAGTTCAGCCTTTTGAGTGATGGTTTTTAAGGCGCATTGAAGCCCTTTTTATTGAAAAAACTAACTAGGAAAATCAATTAAGCATTATTCAAGATCAGTGAACTCAATGTTTTTAACAATAAAAATGTTTTAAAATGTTAAAAACATTAAGTTTACTGATCTTGAATTATGCTTAATTGATTTTCCTAGTTAGTTTTTTCAATTAAAAGGCCTGAAACGCTCCTTGAAAACCATCATTCAAAAGGCTGAACTGTGCCTTTAAAGGAGGAGGGTGGGGCTAAATGCGATTAGCCTTCTACTGCGCATGACTACAAGCACTGAACGTCATTATATATACACGCAAAAGGCTTGAGCATACTGTTTTGTAACTCGCTCACATGTTGGTCGAAATGAATGGAGCGATCATATTTTGTGGTAAGCAATTAAATGTGTTTATAATATAGCATTTGTAAATTCTGAACGCTGATTGGCTAAGAGCCGTGTTGATATAACTCCATGTCAACACGGGAAATTTTCCGCCGCTTGTAAACACAGAACTTTTTCTTATTCTTCGAGCTTTTGACATTGCTATATTATAAAACAAATATAAAACATTTTTTCCGTATTGATATATCGTTATATCAACACTCGTGGAAGTTGGGAAAACTCGAAATTGTGTGAAAACACTCCGCCCTTCGGGCGTCGTGTTTCCACACAATTTCTCGTTTTCCCAATTTCCACTCGTGTTGATATAACTGTATATCAACACGGAAAATGTTTTATATTTGTTAAATGTTTAACGTGTTTATGGAAACAATCTTGTGTTCAATTTTAAAACTTAGCTATTTCTTATAATGATTTGAGGGTAAAAATTTGTGGAAAGTTTTTTCACAAAGCTGATGCCGCAAACGTCATTGTTATTGAAGGTGTTGTCTCAAAGTTGTATTTCCAATAAAATAGTCTTCCCTGCTCTTTGTTATTCGCCCGTCGTAATTGTATGTGTACATTTAAACATGTATACTTATGGTTAAGATCAAATTTAACAGAAAATTGAACTGAGAATAGTAGAAAGCTAAAAGCGAAAGTGAATAGCAGATATGCATGGATGAATGATGCTTTTTTAACCATTTAAATAAGCATTGAATTGCCTTGCTGCGTGGGGTATTCAATTCTTGGTATTTCAGCTGGCCTTCCAGTTATAACGCTATATATAGATTTACAATTTGACAAAAAGATTAATGCTGGTGCATCTTATTTGTTGTCAGTTTGTTAGTATTATAGAGTATATCATTATATAGCTTAACTGGATTGCCCAGATAAGTTGGAGCATTAAATACCAGTCACAGAAAAATGAAAGGAGTGCATGTATATACACCAACAAAATAAAATGAGGAAAAACATGCCCTGCAGGGTGTACGTTTACATTGCGTATAGAATTTCCAATATAGAGTGGTCAACATTTTTTCCAAAGGTGGAGTGAGTTAGTTGATTGTCTTTTTGTGGTTAGCTAGCGCGGTCGCTGCACCGCGCCTTTGTTGTATCTTTGGTAAATACCGTTAGTGCTTACAGGAATGGCGAAACGAGCTACTTCCAACATTCTCTTTTATTCAGAATTGGTTTAAATAAATTGTCATCTGCGGCAGACAGACTTTATGCTTATCCTCATTCACTGTGCTCTGTGCTCATTTGAACTAACTAGTACTAAACTTAAAATCACATAATGATTGTTAAGGCCTTCTATAAGAGGACTTAAAACCTACATTCCACCTGGTACCGTCCTTAAAATCAAAACTGCTCACTTAATTATAGCAGACGACTCAAGTTTATCGACGAGCTTCCGCGCCTATATATAAAAGCAGCAAAACGGTACTACGCCTTTGCTGACTAAAAATCCCATGATCTAATCATTTTTACTGAATTAATACTTTGAGGTTTGTGAGTTGTTCCATGATTCTGTGAGTTGTTCCATGATACAGTTTAAACTGAGATCAGTTTTTCAGGCGTTTCGGCTATATATTTGTAGCATGATTATCCGATATTAACCCTACGAATTCTATACGCACAATGATTTGAGGCAATACTTCAGTTTCATTCTCGATAACAATACAATTTGTACTGTTAGTTAAGGGTGAGTTGATAAACAAACTATATATTACTAAGTTCGGACAAAAAAAGTGCGTTATCTAATCGTATATATATTTTATAAGGTCACACGTGCATTTGTAAAATCATAAATTGAAAAGAAACTGATTCCAAATATTTCTAGTAATGTTTATGTGAGAGCGAAATATATAGCGAGATGTTTCCATCAACCTTTCTTTACGGAATATATAGATCACGTCCAAAATCCATTGCATTGATATCCTCAATAAATTTTAAAAACCTACTTAAATGCTTTGGGTATAGGTTTTGTCGCCATACTTCTCTCTTCTGGTAAATGTGTTTCTTCTCAAAGTAAGTAGAACAAAACATACTGCCTCTGCTTAGCAGAGGTCGCTCGCTCACCACTATACCAAAGTATACTTATTACAACAACGCCTACCAGACGTACAATTCACTTATCAATGATGATATGGGAACCCCGTTAAAAGGATCCCATTCGAACACCTAAAAATGGCACATAGTACTCCGGTTTCCTTCCACTGGGAAAGTTGACAGGGTGGGTGACCAAATTCAAACTCATTAATAATTCATGAATAAATTAGCCTATCATATTACTTTATTTTGCTCACGTGATAATACTGGATACCTGAAGAAGTATATTGATCCAGTCCTAGGACTGGATCAAAATTAATTCACTCCTTCGATTAGATCATAATTAATTTACTTTACTTCAAAGTAGTAGTGGCACACCATGGTATCGTTGGCCTAAACTCCCGCTGGCGGCTATTTTAGCCGAGTAGATCAATAGATCTAGAAACGGTTTATTTTTGTAATCCGTCGTACATTTAAACCATCCTTTTCGAATCCTTGCTTCTTTTATTGTTATTTGTTCATTTGAGATGAGATAAAAACAAGAACAAAAGCCTGCGATACCATGGTGTGAGTCACGTGTGACAGTAATCCTTTTAGTATGTGAGTGATTTATTCGTATGAATTGTCATTTCGCCCTGGAACGAAAAAACTGCGCGGAGTGGATACTATTAGTCGGATATATTACGCAAAAGATACGCAAAAGATACGCAAATAAAGCAAGCAAGCACGCCCAAGATGAACATTTGTTTTAAACCGTCGAGTGTCCAAAAATGGTTCCCGCAGAGGACACTGAGCTTTAATCTGGCTTTCTACTTTGGCTTTGATTATTCATATACATTATGAAGTGTTCCATTTCCACATAAAATTTCAAATATGAATTTTCACAATAAGACGGCAATCAGGATTGATAAATATTACGTTTACAGGTTGCTCGTCCTCGATTATTAAAAGCCCAGGATATCCCGGTAGCTACCCAGAAAATACGGATTGCACGTGGACAAAATCAACCAGTTACGACACAAAAGTTATCAGTTTCGACATTAGCAATCTTGATCTCGAGCAGTGCGCACGATGCACGTGCGATTATGTCGAAGTATTTGATGGAAGCAGTAAAAGTAGTAAAAGTCTTGGGAAATTTTGCACTGGCCAAGTTTGTTTGTTAACCACAGGCAACTACTTAACGGTTGTGTTTCACACTGATCACAGCAAAGGCGAAAAACAGAACAAAGGGTTTTACGCAACCTACAATTATATATCCCGAAGCTCCGGTAAGTTGCAAATGATTGACTTAATTTTCCTTTTTCCAGTTGAAATTATCTAAACTGATCATCACGTGATGACGCTTTGGTTACTGAAAACAAAAATAAACGTTTCACTCTTTACATGACCAGCGTTTTTGGCATGCAGAACACCTCTAAAAGTTGACACTTGTGCCTAATACTTTAGATTTAGGCACGGCACTTTTTGATCATGTGAATGAGGCAAAAATCGGCACCCGTACAAAATTAAAGGACCAAAGGTACCGAGAGTCACCTGACAAGGTATAGTCTTAGAACATCTAGCGTGCCTTGACGTGCCTGAATTGCGAAATAATTCCAGAAGTAAGCAGAAGTAGCCCAAATTGAGCGATTTAAATTGCCTTCAGCATATTAGCCTCTTGCGACTAAGAAAATAAGAAACAGAAAAATATTCGATAGTACTGAGAAGGAAATTAGATTGTAAATGAATATATATAAAACGCGCAGTGTCGTATAACTAGACGAGGCAACTATGATAACTTTTCGACTGATGTGTACGGCGAGATGAAAATTCAATTGCAGTTGAGAAACTGTAAAAAACCTCGAAAGAAACATAAAAAATTTACAAAACATTGCATATAACTGTTAGGAAAGCTGTTCTTAATACCGCTATACTAAAATAATCGTTTGCTAATTATATAACTGATTAGTTCTTCGAAATAAGTTTGATAAGGAATTTGGAACCATTGGAAGTTTGCGTTAACGCATCTCGTATCCACAATTAGTGTAATAACGCATAACTCTGGTTTGAACGGCTCGTTAACATTTAGAACCGACAGAGCAAACCAGTAATAAATTCAAGAGGTTACTGCTTCGAAATAATTATAGGAATCAGGGATTTTGCAAGAGATTACGCATGCAGTCTCTGGCGAAACCTAAACTGATTATAATCTATTTGTTTTAAGTCTGTGTTGAAGAATCAAACACCATTCGTACTAACTATGCAAGTTATGGAAATTTGAACTGTTCGTGGACGTCTGGAAGTTACTTTGGGTATATTGTTGTACTGGAAGTCTCTTCACTCAGTTTTGGAACATGTTCAGGCACCTGCAGCTGTGGGCAACTCGATGTCTATGATACTTCTGCGGCATCCCAAACGAAACTTGGATCTTGGTGTTCTCTGCCTCAGAAAAGTATTGTTTCCAATGGAAACCGAATGCTTGTACAGCTTGTTGCCACCCCCACATCTACAGCACACTATTTTCGAGCTACCTATAAGTATATAAAAGAGATCCAAGGTACTAAACAATGTTGTTACATTTATTACAAATTTATGTATATCCTTGACAATTTCTTCTTTGAAAGGTGAATTAATGCTGCTTTAATGCTATGTAGTTTTATAATTTTTAGCGAAATTAATTTAACTCAAGAAAAGAGGTTACCAAAAAAGTTCAAATAATGATGGGCAGTAAAAACAAGAGTATTAAAATATCTGTATAGTAAAAGGCATGCAACGTTCATGTACTTTTACCGCAGAAATTTTTTATTTTAACTAAACTGACTTTACCCGCAATGATAAACGACTCATGACCTCATCCTGGAAAAGGTCGGAAGAAACATATATGCATGAGAACTAGGACGACTGGACTGTGAAATATACAGTATTATTAATTTGTTCATGTGTACCATTTTGAATTTATAATTACAGATAAGTTTTCTCAGGGTTGCTGTGGTCTGTGGACTTTTCTTGCAGAAATAGTAGCTTCATGTTAGAATATTTATAGAACTGACCTTTTAAATGAAAAACACCTGTGTAAAATATACACTCGTGTCACTTTATACTCAATGGGTATAGCCAGGATTTCTAAATTGAGAAATACGGGCGCGATTCCCAACAAGGATGATCACCTGAACCATCTAATAGTGCCTTAACTTGAACCGTAGCCCTAATCTAACCACGAACCTAACCGGCTCTAACCCTAATCTAACCTTAATCTGACCCTAATCTTACCCTAACCTTAATCTAAACCTGACGACATTTTTTAAATCTATCCCACCCTGCGCGTCCAGCCTCCAATCTAAAACCATTGTATTGGTTTGGATGGTTCAGATGATCATCCTTGTTGGGTATCGCCCGCATTTTTCAATTTAGAAATCCTGGCTGTTAGCCATTGATATAATGTGACACGGGTGAAGTATAGTACATGCACTTATTTGTAATTGTTTTATAGTTTGCGAACAGACAACTGATTTGGAAGCAACTGCGTACTCAACTAAAACTGTGAGGAGCTACGACCGTCCATCTAAGTATATTAAAGTTGTTGACTGCACATGGAAAATCACAGCAAAGGACGACCAGCTCATTCGCTTTACTGTAAGCCAATCGGACTTGGGCGGCTGCGCTTCCTGTGGATTTCTTCAAATATTTGACGGTCAGAGAGAATGGACCGGCACAAGTCTTGGAAAATGGCGATCTGGTACTCCAGACATCATCTCGAGTGGAAAATACATGACAGTAAAATTTAAAACAACCAAGTTCGACACAAACAACGGACTTATTGCAATGTATTACGCCATTTCCAAAAAGAGTGGTTAGTATATGCATTGGGGTTTGAAAAGGATTTCTGTACACGTGCAGTATACTTTTTAGGCAGCCTTTTGTCGGGGGGCTTTCGCAATGATGTCCAGAAGTGTTTTAATTTTTTTCAAACTGGCTAGTATGAACATGTGCAATGTGTTATATACTTTTATCGCAGATGAAGCTGAACCTCTCATGTTGGTCCAATTTATTGTTAATTTAAAAGAATTCATAATTTCTGATTGGCTAGTAACTGTCCAAATATTTAATTTTAACATAAGATTCAACGGAGTGACGTCTACGCGGTGACGTCATGCCACCAATGACGACTGCCAAAGGAGTGAGGAATTGTGCAAAACAAATTGCTTCCTACAAACGGCCGCTCTTTTGTCTTTTATATAAATAATAAAACATGCAATTACTGAATTCGGTTTTTGCATGATATGAAAATTTATTATATGGCCTCAGTTTGTGTTACCAATCTCAGCCTTCGGCTGATAACACAAACTTTGGCTTGATAATTCTTCATATCATGTTCAATATTTATTAGAAATGTGATTGTAGTGTTCTTATTTCACGTTGTATTGTTTAGAATGTTGATACATTAATGCGTCCTGTTTCATTGTTTGAGTTTTGGTTGGGGAATGCTTTAAAATGCTATCTCGTACCCAGAGTATGCCCGTTCGCAGGTTAGATCCTGCCCAGCACCTGGGAACGAGAAACATGGCAGTCAATCGTAAAGCGCATGCTCGAGTCTACGAAAATGACGTTCTATCTTTTGAGAGAACCAAACTTTTCGTTTAATAACTGATTTTATAATATAGCATTTGTATATTCTGAACGCTGATTGGCTAAGAGCTGTGTTGATATAACTCAATGTCAACACGGGAAATTTTCCGCCGCTTGTAAACACGGAAATTTTTCTTATCCTTTGGGCTTTTGACATTGCTAAATCACCAAAAAGTTCTGATGCGAATCAGGCCATTTTGGGACACGGTGGATTGCAGGCCAGCTGTTTGGTTTCTTGGCATCTATTTTGGGAAAGCATTTCAAAAACTTGCTCTACTGTCTGAATAAATAAGCGAGAAGGAAAGGAATCTTTTGCATGCCCTGTCTGATTCATTGTTTTCGTTTGTTTTGGATTTACAACTTTACCCATGCGCATAGATACTATTGTATCAGTTTACGGAAGAATACAATAGAATGGATTGAATTATGCATAACGCTGATTCCTAGTTACCATTGTTCCATTCTATGTTTCCGTATATTACAACAATAGTAACTAGAGGGCAGACGGAGACTACATACTATGACTTGCATACCTCCGCCGAGGGGCGTAGGAACCGGGGGCACAGGGGCACGTGCCCCCCACCAAATTTTTTCAAAGGACCAAAAGTACCCTTTTGTACAAGCTAATGTCGCTGTAAATACTAAATTAACATCAAGGTGCCCTTTTCGTTTAGAAGTTTCGATTTTAGGTGCCCTTTTCAACATCCGAAAGTGCCCCTGGAAGCCGGTGCCCCCCCCCCCCCATCTTTTGATGCTTCCTACGACCCTGCCTCCACAGCCAACAGTTAATTATTATGTATCTTGCATAAATTATTATACAATGGACTAAATACGCTTTAAGTTACTCTGCCTGGCAAAGAAAGTAAAACATTTGCTAAATTCCTATTAAATTTTCATCCAAGTAAACGCTTATGAAAACATAACTTTCTGGCGGAGGTAACTATATAGGTATATGTGAGTTTACTAAAGTTGTGAATAGTGAGTGGTTAGCACCGATATAAACAACCTTTAGGCCCCGTTTGCATGAGACCGGAACGAAGTCAAACCGGGACCATTTCGTTTCGGTCATTGTATTATTTATAATAGATGTTTACATGGGAACGGGACGAAAATAACTCAGACCTGTCTCAAGTCATTCCGCCTGCTGGACCGAACCGACTGACTTCAGAGCGGCATGAATTCAAACTGGATGAATGTAAACAACAAATACATTTCAGATCGGTCTCGGCTGTAACCTTCACATCGGAACAACACATGCTAACAAAAGCCATCTAAAAAAAAAATTCCCTGGCAAGGGGAATAAATTGAAAATTTTGTGATTTTCGTACCGGTCTCATGTAAACATGTTGACAATTTCAATTTTCATTCCAGTTTAACTTCGTATAAATGGGGCCTTAGCCAAATTTGTCTGCACACCAATGAAACTCTTCAATTCATTTTAACTTTTAGTTTGTCCAACAGCGACTGCCGACCAAGGTGTCCTTCAAAGCTACAACTACCCATCGTCCTACCCTGGAAACATTAACTGTTTCTGGAAATTTCAAGCACCATCGAACTACCTTATCAGGTTCTACACAGAGGATGTACGTTTGTCTGCTGATTGCGACGATAGATGCAACTTCTTGGCGGTGTATGATGGGCCCTCCTTCACTGACACCAAATTGGGTGATTACAAAGAAGATAACGTTAGTCTTGTTTCAAGTTCCTCACAACTATCAATTCGTTTCAAAACATACAAAGAAGGATATAAAGGATTTCGTGGAAACTATTTCTTCATCAAGAAAAGTGAAGGTCAGTATTAAGTAAGATTTGTGACTGCTCTTTAACTTTATCATTAAGAATTCAGCTGAAAAACAACCATTACTTAAAAACCAAAAAATATATAGATGTCGCCCATCTGTTTTCATATATGTTGTTTTACTCTGATCCGACCATATTTTTAAAAGAGTGTTTATTCTCCAAGCAAGACTCCCAAAAATATACAGTAAAGTGAGCAAGAATAAAGTCAGGCTGACGTGCAAGCTAAAGTTCGATACGCATTTGTCATGGCATACACTTGCATTATTTGCTGCGATTTTAGGTGCGATTCTCTTCTTTTGATACGGAAGCGTGTAGGTAGGCTATCATCCGAAAATACGGAAATATGAGATCTGGAAATTCGGAAATACGGAAATATGAGATCTGGAAATACGGAAATACGGAAATATGAGATCCGGAAATACGGAAATACGGAAATATGAGATCCGGAAATCCAAAAATACGGAAATATGAGTTCTGGAAATCCGAAAATATGAAAATCCGAAAATCCGAGATCCGAAAATCTGAATATCCGAGTTGTGTTTTGCGCGGTTGTCTCCGGGTACTGGTATGGAATCTCGTTAACTTGCAAAATGGCGTCAAATGACAATGAATTGGGTGAAATTGAATTAAAGGACAACGAGGTTTCTATGTTTATTGTTCTGTTATCTTAACAGCAACAATGACATTTTCTGTACCTCTGTCAGCCCGTATCCCACTCAGTACAGCTCTGATAGCGGTTACTCTATCTACAAAATAATTTGCAATAAGCTTTGGATCATGATTGCTCTCTGCGACATCCAGCCACAAGATTTTTCTCGAGAAGCCGTCGATGCACCATGGATAAAAAATCCAAACGGACGAAGTTTGTCGTAACCATCTATATGCCACTGATAGTTCGGCCCCTTTGAAACGTAAACGCGACGACGTAGTCTTCGTCTAGATCTTAATTTGTTCAACACCTTTTAGATCCAAGTTTTTGAGGCATAAACGAACTGTCTCTTGATCCACTTGCAGGTTATAAACGCTTCGTAATTTTTTATGCATGGCCCGATAACCCATCGATGAACCACTTCCTCTCAGTTCGTTCGATATGCATTGAATGACATTGCCAATGTCAAAGTCTAAATTTCTTCTTTTAAGCCCCATTCTTCTTAAGATCCGCTTTAAATGAGAAACGCTCAGTTTGATGTTGTGGCGCGTATTTAACATCAGAACTATCTCAGCGTATGTAAATCCAGAATAAAAATAACTACGAATGAGACCACCTCGGTCTTCGTAGTCCACCTCGGTCTTCGTAGTCCACCTCGGTCTTCGTAGTCCACCTCGGTCTTCGTAGTCCACCTCGGTCTTCGTAGCCCACCTTGTTATCGTGAACTCTTGCCATCTTTTAATTTATTAATCTTCTTACTTAAATGATAGTATTGTTGTCAATGTCAATATTTGACGCCATTTTTGCAACTTAACGTGATTCCATACCAGTACCCCGCAGACAACCGCGCAAATATACAACTCGGATTTTCAAATTTTCGGATCTCGAATTTTCGGATTTTCAGATTTTCGGATTTCGGATTTTCATATTTTCGGATTTCCGGATCTCATATTTCCGTATTTTCGGATGATACTTACACGCTTCCGTATTTTGACGAATTTAACGAGTGAATGATTTATGAATGTTCAGATAAAAGGTACACACACTCTAAAACATTATAACTCATCTACTCGTTCACGTGCACCAGAAGAAAATCGTAGGAATCGTATTAAAAATTGCAAGTGCAAAAACGCCTGATTAATAATTGATTAATATAAACCAATGGACAACTTGCATGTTAGACTAAATTTTAATCTAAGCAGAGAAAAGGGAATCAAATTCACAGCTAAAAAGAACATACTGAAATTAGTAAAAGTGCAAAATTTGGTTGCGAAATGTTGTAAAGCTTAGAAAATATAGCCTTGCAAAGTTTGCAAATTTTCAGTATATTTGTATTACGAGCGGAAATTGTTACCATTTTCGGCTCAAAAATGGTAACAATTTCCGCACGTAATACAAATATACTGAAAATATGCAACCTTTGCAAGGCTATATTTTCCAAGCTTTACAACATTTCGCAACCAAATTTTGCAAGTTTACTAATTTTAATAAGTTCTTAACGGTAATTTACTTTTTTTGTGCCTAGATCGGCTAGATAAAAAATTTGTCTAACATGCAAGTTGTCTATTGTATATAGTCATAATTACACGACTCTGATCTCCCGGAATTCGTAATATTATCCAAAAACGTTCTTATGATGAGTTATAATGTTTCTGAGTGTGTGTGCCTTCACCTGAACATTCATAACTCATCCACTCGTTAAATTCATCAAAAGAAGAAAATCGCACCTAAATATTGCAAGGTAAACGGGCCTTTTGATATAGAAAGTATGTGTGACAAATGCGTGTCCAAGTTTAGCCTGCACATCTGCCTGACTTTCTTCTCGTTCACTTGTGGGTTTCGGTGTCGTCCAAGCAAGCGTTTTTCATCTCGCTATGGACTCATTTGAAAAAAGTTTGTCAACGCTCGTCATGGGTTTTCTCCGGGTGCTCCGGTTTCCTCCCACAGGGAAAGTTGACAGGGTGGGTTAGGACAAACACAGTTAAGAATGCAATATCACAATTGTTGTAAAGATAAACTAGTCTAGGCTAAATATATAATTAGGCAAGCGTATAATTCTTGTTGTAAAGCGTATTTGATCGTGCATATCCACATGTAAATTTTGCGCTATAAAAATGTTAATCTTAATCTTAGCGATATAGCCTTGCTGCGCACAGACTTTGATGAAACCTTTTCGTCAACAGTTGAACCTTATCTCATCTTGTTTATTTTCTGAAATCTTGAGTTTTAAGATGAAGTTGATTGTCCGGAGTTTGGTTAATCAATATCTTCTTGCCACTAATAATATGTCATCTATTCATATATAGTTTGCAAAGATAACTTGAACCTCCATGCAAGCACGTTGGGAGAGACGATAAGCAGCCGAAATTTCCCTGAAAAGTATTGGGGTAATATGCATTGTTTTTAGCTAATCCAAGCTGAACGCGACCACAAGATACGACTGATTGTACAGACGATAGATTTCGAATACTGCACTGATTGTGGCTGTGATTTTATTCACATCTTCGATGGACCGAATGGAAATAGCAAGTCGCTTCAAAAATGGTGTCAAAATCGTCCTGATCTCATATCCACTGGCAATTACCTTCAGTATATTGAAATGCAGACAGATGGGAAAAAATCTTATCGAGGTTTCAAAGCAAAAGTCTTTGCTATCCACAAGAATGATGGTAAGGAAAATGCATGCAATAGCTATAATGTTCCAGATTTTTACACAGCTAATTATTAGTTAGCTAGACTTGGTTCAAGTCCATCTCAGGAGAAAAGTAGGGAGGGACGGACTTGGGACAAGTCCGTCTCTCTCGACTTTTCTTTCATATTTTCGCGCCTTTTTTGACCGATCGTGTGCATCGCTATATTCAACCCTTTGAGAGAAGGACTTTAACCAAGTCTAATTATTAGTAAGTATTGAAAATTCAATCTATGACATATGAATTTTGACCCTAGCTAATTAAGGTTATTACACCCGTTTTCGGAATTAGGGCCAGGAAAAATAGCTAGGTTTGACATGTCAATTTTATGTCACATGCACGGTCACGAAATTCAGATTGTTTAGAACTTTGCGTTTTGTGACTCTTTATCGATGTCATGCATTGTATGCTTTATAGGGAAAAAGTTTAGAATGGTTTTCAAGATATTATAACTTATAGTGATAATTATTGGGAAATTTAAAATCATAATATTACCGCTATAGTCTAGCGCAAGCGGGTTTGGATACACAGTTAAATTCGACATTAAATTGTTCTTTTTCAAACTTTAAAAGTGATTCACGACACAGATTTTTTTGTGATTGTTTGTTGTTTCTTTTAGTTTTGTTAGCTGATTTTGGGTCAATATTCTTCTTTAGGTATTAAAAAAGGTTTAAAACGTCCTTTGTTTACGTTTACCATTTTTTAGCAGTTCACTGGTGACGTAAAACTGATATTTCGGAACTGAGATTATCTTCGGGTAGGTGTAGGTCTCGTAATTTTGAAAACGGGTGTAAAGTTAGTCCAGTAAAACCGATGCTATGTTTGTTTGAAATAAAGTCTATAGCTCATACAATGGACTGCAGAAATCAAAACGTTCTTCGAACTAAGTGAAACTTAATTTTTATTGCCATTACATTTAAATCAATTCACTCCATAATCGATTCTTGTCTAGTGTGCCCTGGCAGTGGACTTCTTACCAAAGAATCGGGGACAATCAAAAGTCCAAATTACCCAAAGCATTATTATGGTGGAATAGTATGTGATTGGACAATCACAGTGCCTGACCAAAAACGTATTCGAATCAAGTCTAGGTCACTCAACTTGGAAAGCTGTCCCTCTTGTAGTTCATGCGACCATATACAAATTTCTGATAATGCTTCACCCGACCATCCGATCATTGGAAATTGGTGTGAAACGCCTTTTAATGTGATCTCTCGTGGTAATACAGTGCAAATAAGATTCATAAGTAATGTAAATGATGTTGGTGAAAACTTCGTAATTGAATACCAGACAGTGAATGAAGACGAAGGTAAACATAGTCATTTTAATCGTATAACTAGGGGCAATTGCCTTCTACCCTCAAGGAATCGGATTTGGCCCTCCAGGCACATTGATTCTGGCCCTGGAGAAGTAGCCTCAATTATTGGTCGCAACTGCCCAGAGGTGCAGTTCCTGTGAACCCAAACTCTCAACGTTTTCCGGGTGGACACCTGAAGTACCCAACCGAAACAAAAATCACATGCACAAAATCAATCTGATTTTCTGAGATCGAGATTTAGTTATAGTTAAAGTTACAGTAAAGTATTAAAAGTTCAGTAGTTAATTAAAGTTACAAATACACTCTCCCTACCACCACAATAAAATAAGTTTGGGTTAGGCCGAACAAGCACTTTTTATTATGCACCTGATCATATTGGACCATGAATATTTGTCATTCTTAGGATTGAAGTACCGTACAATTGTGGGATAGACAAAATAAATTGTAGTGAACAGTGATCCGGCCGTGTGTCACAGTTTGTGAGATTGATTTTTTCTTAAACTCAGAATGCAGGAAATATCGTTTCTGAAATAAATGTTTAACGCAAGCAACATGAGCAACAAAACTTGCCAAGGCAAACTTATATTCAGTTCACTGTTTCTATCTAGTTTGTCCGGTAAGCCCAACTTCACCTTCCAGTGGAACGCTGACAAGCTTGGGTTATCCTAATGGAAATTACCCTGGAAACCTAAATTGTACGTACCGCATAAAAGCACCAAACGACAACCAAGTTGTTCGACTCGAGTTTACCCATTTTGAATTGGCCGCTTGTGGACAGTATGTCAGCTCGTGTTTAAATTGTAGAGACGCCATTCAAGCTATAGATGTTGGTGATGATATGAAGTTGACTCGCTTCCATCCCTGGTGCTCAAACGACCCTCAACCTACACACATATTTTCATCTGGACAAAACCTGTTCCTCAATTTCTACACAGACAAATCATCACAAGATGTGGGTTTCAGGGCAACTTATCGAAGTGTTGATAAAAATTTAGGTAACGCATTATAATATCATGATTGCGGGTATTCCCTTTGTTCTCGCAGGGCAATTAATAACTAATACACCTCATTATATTCATTTTTTTCTAATCCTACTCGCTTTTACGTCATGTCAGGTAGAATTAGTTGTAATCCTACCCGAAACGACGTCAAAGCGGGTACGATTAGAAAAAATGAATATATCTGAAATCGCCAAAACTAAACAAAGACATGGAAAACAATTATACCATTTAATTTATACCATTATTTATTGTTAATTGGTTTTTAATGGCCCTGCGAGAACAACGGGAATACCCGCAATCATGATATTACAAGGTAATAGCATAGAAAGAGGCGAGCCCAAGGGAATTTTACTAAACGACCCTCATCGGGCGGGACGTTTTAATAGCTAATTCGCCTCTTTCTATGCTATTACTTATAAGTATACAAGCGTTTTAACACATGAGCCATGAATGATTTGTTTAAAAAATAGCCTTAATTTAAAGAACCCCCTAAGGCCAATTTCCCATGCGCCGTAGTCGTAAACGCAATTTTAGCTTTCAATCTAGGTGTTTTAAAGAGTCCTGCATGGTCAACCACAATGCAATGCGCGCTTTTGTTTACGTTTTTCTGTCACTTTTCTCAATTGTTGCCGCCATATTCGAGGCCACAAAAATGGCTGCCTCTGGCCCACAACGTAACAGAAACGTAAACAAACGCACGCATTGAATTGTGGTTGACCAGGACTCTTCAATCGTGTTGTCAACAGTTTCAGTCGTCTATGGTGCGCATGCACTACGTTGAGCTACGTTGAAACGTCGACTTTCGACGGTTCTACCTACCCGAATTCCGGCGTCGGTGTGTAGAACCGACGACGGTCGAAGTTTTTATCGGAACGTCTTCCAACATTATAATTTTTAGCCAGATAATTTAACTTTTTCCAATAAAGCTTTGTTAATAAACCAACGATTAATCTTTCAAACAATATGTTCCACACTGCACTCTGAAAGGACTGGTTAAAATTTTCCTGGTTAATCTAGAAACAACCTTATATTTGAACTTAATATTCCTGGTTAAATTTCCCAGATATTTTAACCTTTCTTCTGCTACAGTCTCGTTAGTTTGACCAGGACTTCCTGATTACAGTGGCGTAGCCAAGGGGCAAAAGGACTCCCAGGCAGAAGAATGATTCCCATGTGAAGAATGATTCCCATGCATGTGAACAATGATTCTCATCTCTTCTGTTTACCAAGAAAAGTTGTAGTGTTCCCTATCTAGAATCGTAACTCCAGTAAAAAATGCCTATGGTGGTTGAAAGCACATTTGAACTTGAATTTACGCCATAGATATCTCATATGAGATATCTATTATTTGCGCGCATAGCAGCAGTCAAAGTTCAAAGTTCAAGTTCATCCTTTTTATTACAATATAATTTCCACTTCATAAACGAAGACATCGTGTACAGTACAATTTTTACAAAAACATTTTTTCGATCTAACAACATTAGGCGACTTAAAAATGGCTTTTTGTGGTTGTTTACTTTTCTTCAAACCTCGTCCTAACATGCGTGAAATAGCGTTCTAATGAATCTAAAAATTCAACATTTTCTTAGCTACGCCACTGCCTGGTTAAATTAATCAGACTATGTTAGATGGATAAATAACCAGAGTCCCTGGTTGTTTATTCACCTATTATTAAACATGGTCTGGTTAATTATTGACGTCCTGGTAAAATATGCCAATTCTTGGCTATACATTAACCAGACTATGGTAGGAAATAAAATAAAATAACGAGGACATTTAACCAGGAATATTAAGTCAACCCAAATTATGTTATTTCTTGGTTATAATCGTGAAATTTTAACCAGAATGTTTTTAAAGTGTGGCCGCAATTTCAATTTTTTCAGGTACTAGGAATTGTACCACAGCATTGTTCGCATATCTTTTTTTCAATTTCGTGTACTAACGGCAAACATTTCCTGTGTAGGTTGTCTGCATACTGGCACCTTATCAAAAACTTCAGGGAATTTTAGTGGCCCTAGGTCACCTTTTAACTCGGAAACACTGTGCACATGGTTAATAAAGGGTCCTGCAAACCACAAAATCGAGCTCTCCTTCAGATACAGCAGCGTAAGCGACCGAGATTGCAGTTTCGCATATGTAGAGGTGTATGATGGTGACTCGCCAACAAAAACGTCTTTCGGTCGATTTGGTGAGCACTATTGGTGGGAAACGATTATGTCTACGGGTTCCTCTATGTATGTTACATTATGGGTTGACTCGACAATTAAATCAAATGGAGTGCCCTCCTTTTATGCAACATATAAATCCATCAGTGAAAAAAATGCAGGTCAGTTGTATTCTTTTTTATTATTTATTACATGAAAAAATAACTGAATTCTGATCAATCTCGTTCCCAGTCTTTCCTGTGGAGATTTGAATTCTGATTGGTCGCGAGAGATACAATTATTTCATATAGTACACACTACACCAAGAATCTCTTAATTCTATTTTCCTGCAGACAAAAGCGAGAGCAAATCACTCCTGAAAAGTATAAGAGACGTTGGACTTTCGAAAGTCCCCAGACAATTTATGATTGGACTTTTTGAGCATTTTGTCGGATATTTTGTTCAGAAGCGGCGCTACAAGGGGGGGGGGGGGGGGAACA